TATTACAGAGCTGTATTTTAAGTAACACAGACAACCCTGCATTCTACAGCAGTCAGTTACAAAAAACCCATCATTTCATCCTGATCACTGTAATATTTTCAAATTGGAATTCCATCTGGACTTGGGGCATGGCAAAATAGGGATGCCATGGTATTCCCCACTACCACCAATTTTTAAAAAAACATTATTTCAGAGGGCACCATAAAAGAATACAAAAATGTCACAAGATTTGATATTATCATGCAGTAATTGTTTTAGGGCCTTTGAGCCACCACACAAAATTACACATGGCAAATGGGGCTTGATTGGTTGCTAAGCAGTGTTCTGAAATAAAACTTACAGTATCTTGCCGTCCAATTTTTGAGTGCGTGATACTTTCTTCTAAATCCTTTTTCTTCTGACAATAGTCTGAGAACTAAAAGAAAAGAAAAAGCAAATGTCAGATTACAGAAACATTAATATTTATATTCAATATTCATTTTTTCAATTTCATTTTCATTTTAAGAAATAATATTTCATTTCAAGCAGGCTTAGATTTTTATAAAAGAACGTTGGTCTTACCTGAACGTGTCTTTTCAGGGGACGAGAGGGAGTGGTCACGTGTGGGTATTCTCAAAGCCTGATTGGTCCAAAGACTGAGAGTAAACTTCTTAAATACTCCTGCTTTCCATTCTAGCCCAGTTCCCTCGAAGGCGAATGACAGAACTGAAACAACAAAACCAACAACAAACACTCCGGGAACCACCCGGCCCTCCCCTTGGCCCCGATAACCAAACCAGGGTGGGTCGTGACCACTCCCTCTCTTTTCCTGAAAAGACACATTCAGCTAAGACCAACATTTTTTTTCCAGTGGAAGAGAGGGAGTGGTCACATGTGGGACATACCCAAGCTTAGTCCCAGGGAGGGATAAAAAAACCAACAACTAAGGTCCAAGGGGAGCATCCACGGCCACCCTCTGCAGAACCCTCCGACCAAAGGAAGCATTTGCTGCGGCGAATGCATCCAGACGATAATGCCGGATGAATGGCGTCGGGGACACCCAAGCCGCATCCCCTGCCGCAAGACCATCCCCTCCTACGGAATCCTCCATGGAGGAGCTACCGACAACTGGACAAGATCCGCGAACCAGGGCCTCCTGGGCCAATAAGGGGCCACGACTATATCAGCACCCCCTCCACTACCACCTTCCTGAGGGTCCCCGGAATGAGGGGAATGGGAGGGAAGGCATAAAAAAGGCCCAGAGGCCACCTGCTCCAGAGAGCGTCTATGCCCTCTGCAGACCAGGACTGAAAACGGGTGAAAAACCATGGGAGTTGCGAGTTCGCCGGAGAGGCGAAGAGATCCACCAGAGGAGTGCCAAACCTCCAACAGATCCCCCGAAAAAATGACAGGTGGAGCTGCCACTCGCCATTGTCCAGTCGCCCAACTCAGCCAATCCGTCTGGTGGTTGGAAAGACCAGAGATGTGTTCTGACACCAAAGACAACAGGTGTCTCTCCGCCCAGGTGCCGAGCCTCACTGCCTCACTGCCTCCAGCCAGAGAGCTCAAGAGTGAGTCCCCCCCCCCTACGATTTATGTGGGCCTTGGTGGCCACATTGTCTGTCAGGAGGAGGTCCCTCCACGGAGGTCCGAAAGTGCTGCAAGGCCAGGTGGGCAACTTTCAGTTCCAACCAATTTATATTGTGTTGGAGATCTGAATCCGTCCACATGCCCTGAGCCAAGCGAGAGTCCACCAGGGCCCCCCACCCAAACAGACTCGCGTCTGTGGTGACGGTCACCCTGTCTGGCTTCCAGAAGCAGCAGCCCCGCTGAATGGGTGGGGAGAGCCACCACCTGAGAGAGGACTGGACCCCCGCCGGGAGGCGGAGAGTCCGAAGAGAGTTGCTCATCCTTTCCATCTGGAAAGGGATGAGCTCCCACTGGAGAGGCTGGAGGTGGAGTCTGGCCCACAGGACATCCCTATACAAGAGACCATCTTGCCTAACAACTGTGACAACATGAGGACTGAAACAAACTGACTCTTGTGAACGTTTTCTGCGAGCTGGCGCAGGCTCTTCTGATGATCCTAGAACAGACGGACCACCCCCAACATGGAGTCTATGACTGTCCCTAGGTGAAGGATGTGCATGGAGGGGGAGAGATGGCTCTTGGGGAAGTTTACCGAAAACCCCAGAGATTGAAGACTCCGGATGGTGAGACGGAGGTCTTAGACTGCCTGAGGAAGGGACCCTGCCTGAACTAGGACATCGTCTAAGTAACATTGGAGTTTCATCAGGATGGAATGCAGATGAGCCGCCAACGCCGCCAGTACCTTCGTAAATGTGCGGGGGGCCGAGGCCAACTCGAAGGGGAGAGCCGTGTACTGGTAATGGTGGCTCCCGTGCGAGAATCTCAGAAACCTGCGATGAGCTGGCAGCATTGGGGTGTGTAGGTAGGCCTCTGTAAGGTCTACTGAAGCTAAGAAGTCCCCCTTTCGGATGCCCTGAAAGAGGGAGGACTTGAAGCGCCTGTGCACCAGAAAACGGTTCAAGCACTTGAGGTCCAGAATTGCCCTCCAGCCCCCCCGAGCTCTTCAGAACCAAAAACAGGTTGGAGTTTGTGGCCCAGCCCCCATTCTCCCAGGGGAACTGCCTCCACCGCCTGAATGTCGTGGTGGTGAGCTATTGCCTGATCCATCAGGTGGTGGCGCTTCAGGCTCCGAGATGGAGGGAACGACCTGAAGAGATTCAGAGGGATGGAGAGAAATTCCAACCTGAGACCGTGTCGTACTGTGGACCTGACCCAAGCGTCCAACGTGATCTCGTCCCATTGGTTCGCATAGAGGGACAGGCGGCTGCCTATGGGACGACTCGAGTTCAAGTCACTTCCCTCTGTGGTAGGGACGACCGCCTCTGCCACAAATGGCCATTGGGACTGGTGCTGGAACCAGTTTCTGTCCTGAAAGGACGATCTGGAGAGCTGCCTGTCAGATCTGAAAGAGGAGAAACGCTGGTTATGGTTGTAGTCCGGAGCCCTATATGACTGCCTACGATAAGGATGAGCCCGAGCCTCCGGCTCTTTAGCGTTAGATGGGAGAACCTTCTTTTTGTCTTTGTTCTCAACCAGAATGGGGTAGAGAGCCTTCCCAAAAAGATTAAGACCCTTGAACGGGGCAGCCACTAGATTCCACTTGGCCTTGTTATCCATCTGCCAGTTACGCAGCCATAAAAGCCGGCGGGAAGTAACCAAAGTGGCCAAGGTACTGGATGCAAACTTAACCGTGTCCAGGGTAGCATCAGCGGAAAAGGTAAGGTAAATTTTTATCTCCATAAGCAGAGCTAGGCCTCTGAGGAGCCAACCTACGCGAAGGACAAGGTCCCCTGGATGTACCCTCCAAAGGATCCACAGAACTCCTCCTAGTCAAACCTGGAGAGACGGAAGGAGAGGGAGACCCCTTCCGCCTGGAATAGGAGTGGGACCTGTCTGGGGAGGCTGAGGGAAAAGAAGGGCTGAACCCCCTAGATGAAGAGTGTACTGAAAGGGGCCTGATTGGAGACCAGGACCTGCCTCTGGATGTAGGTCCTGCAACCTTGGCCTGTCTGCCCTGGCAAAGGTCTTTTCAATGGTCTTGTGCTTCTTGGCCTCCTCCCTTGTGGAGGATCTAGAAGGGCGCTGGGCAGCGAAATGTCTTGGAGAGGGAACCCCTGGCTCGAATCCCTGCACCAGGCCCTCTTCACCCCTCACCAGGCCCTCTACGTGGCCCTGGGGAATTTCCGACCCCTCCTCCATTTTGCCCCACTCACGTGTCCAGTGAAGGAGGAAGGAATTCAGGCCTCTTTAGGCCCCCACGGGACCTGGGCCTTTGGAATCGTGTGGAGGGACTAGGCCAAAAACGCCCCCAGCCTGGCCTCCTGAATCGATGCAGCAAGAAGAAAGGGCCTTGCGCATGTGGCAGCAGATAAAATGGCCACCGGAATGCTGCGCAGAAGAAGAGGTCGAGGGCAACTACAAGCGGCTCTGCCTGGCTACCAGGAGCCAAAGCCGCCTTAGTAAACATCAGGGGGCCACGCAGCACACAAGCACGCACTCCCCCCCAAGAAACCTCCTCAAACGGCTATTATAGTTGAAGAGTGCGTCAGCCGCCCGGATCAAGTGGCGGCTCCGTGGGCGGCTCCTGCGCACCTCGTGGTGCCGAAGCCACTTCCCTCACCAATCCTCTCAAGGAAAGCTGCCTCTCCTGCAGCTGAGTATGGAGCTGGCACCCCGGCAATCCCGAGGATAGGGCTGAGGCTCCGGGCCTCCGCCCGAGGCAGAGGACTGTCCCTTGGGGCCGCAGCTGCAAATTTAGAAAGTTTTAAAATACCCAGTTAAACCAAATAACCGATTCGATTGAACAAATAGATTTTCTACCTAGAAACAATTCTCAACAGTGCTTGGACCAAGAAGACTGAGAGGAAACTGGGCTAGAATGGAAGGCAGGAGTATTTAAGAAGTTTACTCTCAGTCTTTGGACAAATCAGGCTTTGAGAAAGCCATACATGACCATTCCCTCTCTTCCACTGCAAAATATGCCGGTTCATAAGATGGCTATTAATTATGATAAAATATCCATTTACTGGAAAACTATGGTATGATTATGTTGGATAAGACAGTATTATACAATGCAAAAATACGTGGAGAGAAAGACACTTAACACTTAACATTTCAGCTTGCACAGTAGGACTATAATATGGATAAACTGCAAGAACCTAGAACAGTGCACACTACTGCATTCTACGTCCATTGTGACTTCCTATGTACAGTATCTTGTATATAGTTGTGACTTCCTATGTACAGTACAGCAGCTGAAAAATGACTAAGCCATGAATGACTGTGATAAGTGTATTTATCAGTTTATGTCCTTGGATGGCTATTTTCACCAGTTTCCAATTCTAGTGTTGCTGAGATAATCCTGAATTTGCATATTGAATGACAAAAATGCAAGATATTTGTAAAGAAACATACAATATTCTATATGTGTGTATGCACACGTTACATACCTAAAATGTGGTTATATAGGTGGCATAGTGTATGTGCATTAAATTTATCAAATGGTTTTTCAGAGAGATAATTAGTTTAATTGACAGCAACAGAACACACTCAGTGGCTTGTTAGGTTTTAAGACAGTTCTTTTCAAACCTATGTAAATTACCTAAAATTGGGTAAAAGGGTAATAATACACAAACCACATTTAAATAAGGACATTCTGATAAGTAGTAAAAATAACTTTTTGATAGTTTTGGTAATGAAATTTGGGAAGTGGTACTTTAAGATGTCACAAGAGTTCATTGCTTTTACCACTTAATATCTAATTTCCATGAATTAATCTTAACTTCGTAGATAACAGCAGCTGCTGATAAGCTTACAAAAACATTTTTAAAAGTTTCAAAAGATATAAATTCTGCATGAATATAATAAATACAGAAAAAGCACTATAATCTGAATATTTTATATGTTCTGAATTTCTTAAGGATATGAATAATCAGCAGTATGTCTTTTTAATATCTATAAGTGCATAGCCTATTAGATGAGTTACTGTATTTTTAATGTCTCTGAAATGTTTGCTAATAAACCAATTTTTATGATTGGATTTCCATCTAAAACTTAGAATGGTCCACAGCATAACATATAAACTATATTACTAAGGTTCTGTTTTGTTGATTCACTGACAAGTAAATTGTAGAATCTACTCTATCCACATTGCCTTTTATGGAAAATCCTCTCAAAAGGTATTTTTGTACATAATATATTTTACAGCAACTCTTTCATTTTTGCAGCAAAGATGAAAAATCAATCTTGGATCAGCTTCCTACATTACAGCATTTTAATGTTTTAAACAAAAATCTCTTTCAACATAGAATTGCTTAGTTTAGCAAATCTTTCTGAATTGCAGAAATGATACTACGCAAATTAACTTATCTGAACTTATGACTAAATATTTATAATCACTTTAATAGGATATAAAACAGCCAGTAAAATATCAGTATTTTTACATAATTATCTATTAGGCATTTCTGGTAAACCATAAATAAAACTTGAAGGCCTTGGCATTTTCTTACTAATGTTCTCCAACAACCAGTAGTATGTATAACTTTCTGCTTTGGCATATGGAAATACTGCTCTCCTTTTAAAGCCCCAAGTTGATTTCCAACAAATTCACACAATTTTGCATTATGCAAAAGTTCTTCCTTAATATCTGTGCTCAAGATTATAGGATTGTAACCATGCCTAGCGTGATAATCGTGTTCACTTGCTTTCATCATGTATAATTTTTACATACAGGATCGTTTCCTGAACCCCCATATTTCTTTTAAGGTAAAAAACTTCGAATGCTATATTTCATAAAAATCGATTTGATTTCACAATCTAGTAATGTTATTTAGTCAGTAACAGTAGTAAAAATATAGCCTTAACCATTTCAAAGTAATGAAGCTAAATCTTAAGCAATGTTTTTTCTACTCTGTTTCCCCAAAAATAAGACCTGGTCTCATTTTCTTTTAGGCCCCGAAGTAAGCACCCAGACTTCTTTTTGGGGAGGTCTTATTTTTTTGATGTGCAGGAAGCGTAAGCATGGTGGCCAACAGGAGTGAGAGCACTGCTTCCACCAGGCCCACCCTCTCTTCCACTGTCTACTTGCCTGTGGCTGCAACAGACCAAACTCTCAGCGTGCCCTGATCTCCGCCCTTCCTGCCTGCTGACCCTGCTGCTGCTGAGACACTGGAGTTCAGGTCTTGCGGCACCAGTAGAGCCGCTCATGGCAGAAAGCCATGAGACTTGTCACGCTGGTGGAGCCACTCTTGGCAGGACACTGTGAGACTTGTTGCATCGGTGGAGCCATTTAGTGTATGACGCCGTGAGGCTCATCGCACCGGTGAAGCTGCTTGCAACAAGATGCTGTGTGGTGTGTTGTCTCATTGCACACACGAGTGGTTCCAACGGTGGCTGCATAAGTTGGGCAGTGGCATGGCAGGTGTTGGGGTATGGGTGGCCTGGCTATGGGAGGCCTGGCTGCGGCAGTCCTAAGGTAAGCGGGTGCATGGTGTACCTCCAACCCCCAATCCCGCCCTAGCTTTTTACACTGGCCCCTCGCGCCACCTTACACAACCAGACAATGGGTGGGGCTTAACTAGGGCTTATATTAGGTGCAGGAGTGAAAATAGGGGTAGGGCTTGTTTTCAGGGTAAGTTATATTTTCAGGGAAACACTGTACACTCATAAACTTTATTCCTGAAATAATTCCTGAAGTTTGTGAGATACTTCAACTATGAAAAAAAATCAAAAAATCTTGCAAAATAATAATCCTGCATAAGCATGATGAAGTTTGAATACCTTATCTGGCCAAGTGTGATTAGATGCATGAGGAATTTGTCTCTGGTATAGAAAGATTCAATGTACATCCAAAGCAACAGAATGATGATGATAATAACAATAATATAATTATAGTCATTAGCTACACAGCTGGAATAGTGGACTGGACTAAACAGAATTAAAAGTCCTGGATAGGAAGACCAGAAAATGTGGAATGTTGCAAGTACATCAGATGAAGAAGAAGAAGAAGAAGGAGTAGGAGAAGGAGAAGAAAGAGCCACTGGGATAGGACAGCTGACAAAATGTAGTTCTTAGATCAATAAAGTCATTCCAAAGTCTTTTGGGTTTGGCCAGACCACAGCCTTTATCGAATCATTTGGCAAAACTTTTGAAACCTGGTATGTTTGTTTCAGACTTTTTCCATTTCACAAAAGCTCTGCATGCATAGTTTACAATTGTTCCCTACTTACACTTACAAGAATTCTCAAAAGGTTACAAACTGGGCCAATGTGGAAAACTAGTCATTTTTCCTCTCAGCATCTGGCCAGCTGAATTCTATCCAAACATATGACTTATATTTCTTCCCTCCCCCCCCAAAACAAACACAGCACATAAAATCTTCCTTCCTTACATACTGTAGAAAGTGTATCAGTTGGTTACAAAAG